TGAGATGTTGAATACCTTTAATTTCTTTGCAGTCGATTCGCTCTGATGAGCAAATCGCCTTCGAGCAAAATATCTAACGATAAGGAAAATTTGAAGAGGGGTATTACTAGTGTTGCAAACAACAGCAGTAATATCCCCGGGGTTTAACGACTATTTTTTGACGCAGTACATTCAGAAGCCTACTGCGAAATTCGTTATGCTGAGAACATATTGGTGTAAAATATTAATATCAACGATTTTTTAAAGCCATCTCACGTAGCTGAGTGGCTCATTCTAATACATTGTGTCCGTATTGCTATCCAACAGGGATTCATTTCAGCTGGCATTAGTAAGCGTGTTACTTCTAATGCACACTAAGTCAATACTCTTCAGCTTCGGGTACAAATTTGCAATTCTTGATTGTATTCTATTTTCACCTCAGGTAAATTGATTATGTCCGTAATATGAATCCAAACTCTACCCAGTTGTTGTTTAGAGTGTATCATTGGTTTATTTCTGGTTGCATGGATGATCACAATCAGCTGCAATCACGCTTATTTACTCAAACTAGTCAGTTAATTTCAGTTGAAATACTTTTCATTGTTCCACAAAGCAGTTGTACGTATGCGAAGGTAGCTGTGGCAGAATGTCTTCAGGCGTGCGATGTCTGAGGCGTGTTCCGTGTGTGTTAGACCGCACCTTCTTTTTCCTACACCTCTAGCGCAGGATTACCCGTGAATGATATTTCATTAATATTTCGTGATTTAAACGTATGTAAGCTTATCGTTATCCGATAACGATTGCAGTTGTCGTAAAACTTGAAAGGACAGTGTTTGTGTTTTAAAGATTGTCTTTACCTAGGATTGTTTCTTTGATCAGCATTTCAGTCTGCTCAGTTTTTAATTGAAGCGTGTTTATATGACTCGAATCATGTTTAGCCGTGTCCTTCTTGTCTATATTGCGTATTCTTTGAAATTTGTGTTCCTTTTTAATGCCGAATGATAATTGAGATTATTATTTGTTAAGGTATTTCGAGAGTTCAAGAACGATATCGGTTAGTGGTCGAATGATAAAGTGAGTGTGATATTAATAAAACTATCAATATCACAACCAAAATTTGTGATGCTGCATGATCTAAATCGTTTGATGAACGGTTCATTAACAACGAATTCATCAGCATCGATTTCGCTACAATCTCAGCAACAGCAGCAGCAGCAGCAACAGTCACAACAGCAACATATGGCTTCGAATCAGATACCTGTCGTTTCTTCTGTCTCAAATACGATTAATAATGGTATGTTTCATCCAGTTTATTCTGCACTCATTCGGTTTATCGTCAGTTCGTTCGATTTCCACAATCCGTGCAAAAATTCACGCCGATTCTTTGTGATTTCTCATTTTTAATTTTCTTCGCAATCAATTTCGATAGTTCGATCGTTTTTTTACTAATCCATAAAAGGTTTAGAAATAGCCTAAAGCTTGGGCTTTCCTATGAATTTGTGATTATTATTATATTTGATATCCGTTTATGTATATATTTAAAAGTGTCTTTTGCATATTTAAGTTGTACCGACTAATACTGGAATATCACGACCGCCAGTGCCGAGTAGTATCGAAAGTGCTCCCCCGCCAACCCCAACCGTTGCCCCGCCGCCAGCTCCAGCACCCCCGAAACGTCGTGAAATCTATCGATTCACGTCAACAAGACCGTTATTCGCTGCATCATGGTCGTGTAAACGACATCCTGACAAACGATGGCGTATTGCCGTTGGAAGTGTAGTGGAAGATAAACCTCAGAACAATCGGGTTATCATTTTTGATTCAACTTTTAATATTCTTTCATTTATTCATGCCCCTTCTTATACATTTTTCGATTCATTCGCTCATTTTTTGAGTTGCCTTTGTTGAGTTCTGCTTCATTGATGTTTTATGTGGCACTCTTAAAACTTTGACTCAGCAAACCGAATTCCAGCATCTGTTTTGATGGACATTTTTGGATTAGAATGTGACACATACTTGTGTGATTGCAGGTGTCAATCATTCAGTTGGATGAGCAGCAAGGCGAACTCATGGAACGTTTCTCGTTTGAGCACAATTTTTCACCAAATTGTATCGAGTGGATACCAGATTTGGTGAATTTTTTAACACTGAATTCTATTTTCAGTGCAATACTTTCAATAAGTTAGTGATCGGAAACGGCTTGCATGGGCACATTTGAGTATGAATTTGAGAATTTATAAATTAAGGTGGATTTGAATCAAGTAATGTGGTCTAATAAAAATTTCCGTTTGATTTGTAGCACGACAATTATCCGGATATTTTGGCGACGAGTGGCGAATGCTTGAAAATTTATCGGATCGATAACAACACAGCAACGATTGAGTGTATTCTCAACAACGTAATCGTTTTTTGCGCATCGATTTTTCAGTTTCTTCATTTGTTGATGAATTCACTTCATATATTATTTATTCAGTGAAAGGAAAAAATTTCCGTATTTTATTGTAGTGGAAATTGGGTTTAGTCTTAAATTGGAATGGATGTTTAAATGTGCTGATAGCAATGCTGGATAATTGGGAAATGTGAAATGTTCGAATGCAGGAAGACGTATAGGACTATCTTATATCCCATTTAATCGTTTTTGAATGCAGTTTTGAAGCGACCAGTAGATCGACATCCATGAAGCTTTTGCATGAATAGATTGTCTTCTGGGATTTCCCATCCTAACCATCATATTCTCAATGATGAAATCCTCGAAAATGATTCTGATTGTGTTCGTTTTCCAGAAGCAAACGTCCAATTATTCCGGTCCATTAACAAATTTCGATTGGAATGAAGTTGATCCATCATTAATTGGAACATCTTCTATCGATATGAGCTGCACCATCTGGCAACTGGAGGTAAGCTGCATTTATTTCCCGGTAGATCTTATTAAACTGAGGATCCATTCCTTTGTTGAGAAACTGAAATAGTTTACAACAGTATTATGAAAAAATACCAACTTCCATTACGAATTTCAGTGGAAATATCTATATTTTTAATGAGTTGTGTGTTTTTGGTATATTCTGTCAAAAAAAGATATTTGCTTGATGGTGTTGAATTTGAGAGTGGAAAGTGATTTTTTGTAGACAGGACAGTCGTTAGGACAAACGAAGAAAACAACGGGAAATGTTAAGACGCAGCTGATAGCTCACGATAAGCCAGTACATGATATTGCGTTCTCGAAAATTGGTAATGGGCGAGATAACTTCGCTACTGTTGGTATGAGATTATCTCGTATTATTGTTATGGAGTTTTTTGTTGTGATAGCAGTTGTTTTTTTTNTTTTTTTTGTCATATCTCATTTCATTTACTGACTGATGAATTGAAGGTGCGGATGGAAGTGCGCGTTTATTTGATCTTCGGAATCTTCAACATTCGACAATTGTTTACGAGGATCCAATGAGGACACCGCTGATGCGACTCGCATGGAATAAACAAGACTTTCATTACTTAGCGACATTCGCACAAGATTCTGCCGAGGTCCTTATTGTGTTTTGTTATCATAGTTTTTGTGTTTTTAAATGTTAAACTCGAAATGAGGTTTATGATAACAATGGTAATTAATATGCTGATTGCAGGTGGTTGTCATTGATATTCGTATGCCGTGTAGTCCAGTGGCTCGACTGCATAATCATCGCGCTTGTGTTAATGGTCTCGCATGGGCACCGCATTCGGCTTGTCATATTTGCACTGCAGGTTGCTTTTTTCATTATCAGATTCAATAAATTTCAAATTTGTAGTAGTATTGTCGATGTTTTCTAAGCATCATTATTGTATTTATCGCATGATGAATGTTATGATTTGAGGTGATGATCATCAGGCGCTAATTTGGGATGTATCATCGATGCCCAGACCAGTAGAGGACCCTATTCTTGCGTATCAAGCTGCCGGTGAGGTACGTGAGAAGCTTTATTATTACTATTGTTATTATTATTGCAGTCATCATTACTCGTATATCACTATTGTGATTGTATTTACTTCAAAATTCTGTCGGTTCGTTCAGCACATCAAAAATTCAAGCATTCATTTTTTACAGGTCAACCAAGTGCATTGGTCAGCAGCGCATACAGATTGGATTTGTATTTGTTTCGGAAAATGTCTTGAGATCCTTCGAGTTTAGTCATACCATCTATTCGTTCGGTAATATTTGTTCAGTTGCAATTTCTTTGCATCAACATTTTGGATTTCAACGGAGTGTGATCAAATGTTTATTTGGCTTGATATTCATCGTAATCTTTCATTTTATTAGTGTAAATTGTGTGCGTGTATACCTTATAATAACCATCTTTAATATGTCTCACAATGTTTTGTTAACATTCAGTTGAGTCAACTGACAACAACAGTGCTACTCGAATTTTTTGTCTATCCAACAGAATCGTTTTCAAACAAAATTTACGGGCACATATCTGAAAATTCAAATATATTATAGCGTATCTTGAAATAGAGTCCTGAACCGTGAATCTCGATAAATAGATACAAAGTAATCGCTTGTATCGAATTCGATGTTCTGATCCAGGAACTAGAAAATTGTTTAGATGTTGGATTATGCATCCTCATAACTACTCTCTCTCTCTTGGCATTGGTCGATAGAGTATAATTTTAAAAGGTATTGGTTCAATTACACTTATCTAACGAAAACGCGTAATCAAAGGAAAAGTTCAATGAAATTTCTCGTTTATGTTAACATTATGACGAATTTCTGCTAGGAAACCGGAGAATGGTCCTCCTCATGAGGAGAATCAGTGTGTAGGTGAAAGGATAAGAAATACTGCTGTGAGTGTGTGTTGTATTTAAGAACCTCACCTAACTCATTCCATTGATCTGTGCAATCTAATTTTATTTTTGCAAAGTATGTTTCATTAAATTCAGTGCAATTTAACGTGTAGCAATGTTCATTATTGTCTTTTCGATGAACATTTTTCTCATTATTCTTCATTGTCACTGTTGATTGTGTTATAATCGTGCTCTGTTTGTGATATTTTTTAATGTCATTCATAATTTGTTTTCATTGCATTATATGATACGCAAAGTATATATTGTTGTTTCCAACTTACAAGTTTTTTATTTCATGTCAAGAATTGATTCTGCCTATTCATATCGTTCATATGTTGAGATTTGTTAATAAAGTGTTTAAATTTGTCCTTGTTTTGTTTTGCGTGCTTTCAATCAGTTCATATTCTTACCGGTTTTCTGATATCTTCAAGGATGGCTTTCAGTTTTAATAGTTGTTTAGAATTGATTACATCGTTTGTTTGGTTTTATTTGATTTGAAGTTTTTTGTTTACGTGAATCTGATAACACTATTCGATGACATTTGAACAGCAATCTTACGTGGTTGCAATTAATATGGCATTAGGTTTTAGTGGATTCGAACTGAATGCGGTGAATCGCCGTCCTCCTTGAAAGTGACGTCTAGCTTGAGCAGTTGATTGCTAGCAGATGATAGGCGATCTGTATCATCTGAACTCTGGTATCACACAGAGCGATCGTTCGATGAATAAAGTATTCATTTCATTTGATTATTCTATTCTGTTATTCTGCCTTTCTGAATAACTTTCAGTTTTCATTGTGTTGAGCATAGGATTATTGCTACTAGAATGATTTGGTTTCTTTGGAATGATCACTCATTCCTTTACGAATCATTTGGACGTTATCGAGAACTTATCAAGGAATACTTGATTTTAGTTGATAATTGGTTTGGTCTCCTCTTTTATCAGTCATATGAGACAGTTATTTGTTTTTGTTACTTTCATTGAATTGAATGTCACATTCATTCTGAGAAACAATTGTTTTCTTTTGAAATAGGCTGCCTTTCTGATGCCAAATCAAGCGAATCAACAAATTGGAAACATTCAATCAAGCAGCGGAGCTGGTATAGGTCAACAACACACAATGCAAATGGTTGCTGATGATTTAGATCAGCTCGTCGTACAAGGTGCGATTATTTCGTTGTGCAAACGTTGGAATGCTCGATGATGTGAATGAATTGTCAAATGCAGATTCATTTCTGAATGCTTATTTCTGAATAGTGTATCAGTATAGATTTCACCGCAACCAATTTAAAAGTTAACATTGATTTTGTTAGGCGTATATGTCATTTCAACTGCAGTTTCGGATGCTTATTTAGAAATTCAGTTGAACAACCCAGTCGCCCATTAGCAAAAATAACAATTGGAAATTTGTGCGGATATGAGCGATTTGAAAGTTATTTATGCATATTTTTGCACTCATTGAATGAGCGAGAGAATTTTATAAGAAAATTTGAGCATATTGAATTGAACAGGTGGTGTTGTATCGTCATCAAACACAACGTCAAGTGGGGTGAAAAGGAAAGAGATATACAGATATGAAGCACCGTTCACCCTGTACGCCACTTCATGGTCACAGCATCCTGACCCATCCAAAAAGTTTCGATTAGCATCTGCGAGTTTCATTGAAGAATACAACAATAAGGTTCATTTGTTGTATTCTATTGCATATTTTGTGTTGATAAATAAGTAGTGTTCCGTCAGCCGCTAAGAGAAAAACAGAGCATATTGTCAGTCATAATGACAGGCGATGGATTTCAGGTTTCCATAGTTCAATTGGACGAGGAAGCTGGTGAATTCATTCACCGCGGCATGTTCGATCACCCTTATCCGGCCACTAAAGTCATGTGGATACCAGATCAAGTAGGGTTTTATTGTAATCGCACGTTATTATTGAAGTGATTTTGATTTCGATTGCTTTCACTGTTGCTTTTTGGAAGAGCGTTTGGTTGGGAAATGTTTCATGTTGAAATGGTACAGTCATTCCGGTAAAAATGAGCCTGATTTGTGGGAATTTCAGAAAGGGATTTATCCGGATATGCTGGCGACGAGTGGTGATTATTTGCGTTTATGGCGAGTTGGTGAAGAGAACGGAGCACGCATTGAGGTATTACTGAACAATGTGAGTTGAACATGGATTTGCAGAAGATTGCTTGTGCAAGATTATACGTTATAATGACCTTGTTGGATTTTGTATTAATATAAACACTCGTTTTTCAGAACAGAAGTAGTGAATATTGCGCACCTCTAACGTCGTTCGATTGGAATGATGTTGATATATCTTTAATTGGAACATCAAGTATCGATACCACTTGCACGATATGGCAAATTGAAGTCGGTTTTCCAATTTGTGCACAGTTCAATTTTTAATTCAATATTCTACTCGTTCGAATTGCGTATCCATTTTGAGAGTTGTTAGTGCGGAAAACGTAAATCATATTTATCGCTTGTGCAGTTTTGGTAATGAAAGCGATCGTTGAAGTTGTTGAACGGTTGCAGACGGGTCAAGCGATTGGATGCTATCGAACCACCGAAGGAAGCGTCAAAACACAGTTGATAGCACACGACAAGGAGGTGTTCGATATAGCGTTCTCGAGACTGGGTAACGGTCGTGAGGTGTTCGCGAGTGTTGGTGCAGACGGTAGTGTGCGCATGTTCGATCTGAGACATCTGGAGCATTCAACAATCATATTCGAAGAGCCGAATCGTGTGCCTTTGCTGAGATTGGCTTGTAATAAGCAAGACCATAACTATATCGCCACTTTTGCACAAGACTCCAATGAGGTTCAGTTCTGTCGTTATTTTGCTCTCATCTGCAAGTTTGCACTAATGAATCTCATTAAGCATCATCAAGTTTTGATTAAAGGTGATAATATTGGATGTTCGTATTCCGTGTACACCAGTGGCCAAACTGAATAATCATCGTGCTACCGTGAACGGTATGGCATGGGCACCGCATTCATCTTGTCACATTTGCACTGCTGGTTTGTTTGTTTTGTTTGTTTTTTGCAAGTTAATCGAGTGTAATTTAATTGATATTCAAGGTGATGATAACCAAGCACTCATATGGGATATACACTCAATGCCAAGACCAGTCGATGATCCTATTCTCGCCTATCAAGCCGGAGGAGAGGTGAGCCTCATTTGGTCGTTTTCCTTTCCATTTGTTTGCTGTGTCGTTATTGTTTGGAACTCAATAGATATTTTTGAAGAATTTTCGGTAATAGTAAAACAATTCGATTTCCCCTTCAAAGTCTGTTGAAATTTTAACAGATGTTGAAGGGAATCTCGTCGTTTTTTAATTGAAATCTAAGTTTGGCCGTCCTATTCTTAGGTGAATCAAGTGCATTGGGCGGCTGCGTTTCCTGATTGGATTTCAATATGTTATAATCAGTGGCTGGAGATTTTGCGAGTGTAACCGACTGAATATGGCTATTTTCAACAAGGAATTCGTTGCCTTCGCCGAGAAATTTGCTTCTTAACCACTGGTAATGAGCAATGTCTCAGTAAGGATATGGAAATATGGAATATGTCAAGCAGTTATCACTGTTGAAATGTTATTTTTATGGTTTAATTTTTAACTACCAAATGCTCAAACATGCGCTGAATAGGTAGAGCCAGCGAAGGCTCAAACCTGATATTTAAATTATGGCATCGATTACGAACACTTTATTTTATTGAGCATTTCGTGATT